CTTCCTTCCTTCCTTCCTTCCTTCCTTCCTTCCTTCCTTCCTTCCTTCCTCTCTCTCTCTTCCCCTTCCTATTCTAGCCTGCCTGCCTTCTTTCTTTCATCCCTTCCTCTCTTCCTCTTCCTCTTCCTCTTCCTCTTCCTCTTCCTCTTCCTCTTCCTCTTCCTCTTCCTCTTCCTCTTCTCCCCTTCCTTCCTTCCTCTCATTCTGATCCTTCCTTCCTTCCTTCCTTGAAAGCATAGCAAGGGAGAGATTTTCATTTGGAGAACTGAACCCATAAGGGGGGATTTTTCTTTCTCAGCAGCCACCCCCCCCCCAAAAAACCTCCCATCCTTCCATGCATGGCTCTATTAATGCAGACTGGGAATGGCCGCTGGGAGATGCTGGGATGTTTTGCACAGGACTGACAAAGATTTCTGACTCGCCGTGAGGGAAGAAAATTACCTCCTCTACAGCAGAGCTAAAGGCCGGGGTGTGCGCGCTTCCACTGATGAATTGCACTTACCACAAGCATCAGGGCCTGAATGTTAATTGGCGTGAGCTGAAGGGCGATGAAGATATAGGAAGGAAGGCCATCTGTATGCACCACTCTTCCACCGCGGGATTTAGAGACTGGGTTCCCACCCTGTGCTCAGCCACAATGCAGTTTGCTGGGTTCTGGTTTGGTAACTTACTGCTATTGTAGGGTGCCCGAAGAAATGAATTGGGCTGGGAATTCCCATTACAAACAGAAACACAAACTACCCAGCCCTATTTTAGCCTACCTGTGAATGTGATCTATTTATTTTCCTATTTGGGTTTTTAAGTATCTTTGTTTTCTGTTTGTTATCTGTCCAGCCAGCCAAGTCTTCTATGCCTTAAGAAAGGCCAGCAGGGACCTCTGAATCTCAGGGGTATGCTGTTCCATAGGACAGGAACCATGATACAGAGAGGTTATTTTAAATTACTTACTTAAAGTGCCCTCCTCTTTCTCCCCAAAGGCTTCTAGAGCATCATGTAAATACAGGCAGTCCTCATTTAGCAACGGCCTCATACAGTGACCGTTTGCAGTTACGACAGTGATGAAAAAATAACTTTGCGACCAATCCTCGCATTTACAACCTTTGCAGATCTGGGAAGCAAAGGAAAGCTGAAGAAGTAAGATCATAAGCACCATTGTGGTTTCACTTAGCAACCGCTTCTCTTAACAACCAAGTTGCCGGTCCCAATTGTGGTCACTAAATGAGGATGACCTGTATTGAAAGCAGGACTGTCCCTGGCTCTGAAGCTTGCAGTGTAGAAGTCCCCATGAAGAAGGAAAATGTCAGAGTTCTCACACAGTCAGTGGCAAACAACTTGGTTGCGTATTGCAACATCCAGAGATGGATGGAAGTTGCCCCTCTCGTGCAAAAGAGGGAGTCAGGTGGTCCACTACATAGGAGAGGAATGAGAAGGAGGTACAAAACTTTGGTTATTGTTCGATCTTGTAATACAGCAGTCATTAGAATTATTTGGGTTATGGTTTCATAACTCTTCTTCCTTACCCTGTCTGCAGGTGACTGACCATGCAACCACAGCCCTGTTACATTACCAGCTACCTCAGATGCCAGACGTGGTCGTCAGGTCCTTCATGGTAAGTTTGCTGCAGACGTCCCCAACCATCACGGGTCATTGCTTTCCATCGCATTATATGTATTTACGGTTAAAGATCATCAAGTCAAAAGGTTTGAATACGTTCACAATAAGGAGCAGTAGGTCTTAATTGGTGTAAGGTCATTCTTCTCTTGAAGCAACTTGAAAGAAATACCATTGTAGGGTGGCCTTGCAGTAGTAAAGAATCTAGCATTGTCTTATTCGTTCCAACCCAACACAACGTTGAAAATAAATTATGGAAGGGGGTTCAGAATTCTCTGTCCGTCAACTGAATAATGGACCAAAATCTGAATAGAACAGGCTCAAATTTGGGGCAGGGGGAGTGAGCCGTTAAAAAAAAAAAGTTGAGTTCCAAAATCAGCTACGCACGGCCGTGAGTTATGGAGAAATCTTGAAAAATCCCCTTAATGTAATCCTATGGGAGAGACAATTGGGCAATGTTGGCAAATGCTCCATTCTATGCCCCACTCCTTTCTGGTCATGTGACTCAAGCAGAGCCTACATAGCCAACTCCATGCTTCCCAGTACGCCCATAACATGGGTAGAACAGAAATGTGAAGTGCCCCAGGCAGCAGAGTGGAGAAGAAGCAGAGTCCTATCAGATCTGAACCCATCTCTTGCCCAGGGTTTTGAACTTCACCAAAAGCTGCATACCTCTCAGTCCCCAGATCATCCTCACATTTCTCCAGCTCCTTGTTCATTACAGCCGACGTCCTACCTCCCAGCAAAACTCTGAAAGTGGATGTGGGGAGACTGGTGAAAATGTGGTTTTGATTCCCTGCAATGGCATATAATAAAGCCAAACTAAAGATACTCATCCCACTGCCAATAATGGTCATTGTTTCACATGTCAGGTGTCCAGTCCCACCACCATAATACAGTGAAGTCTTAATTATCTAGACAAGGTCTAACCTTCCTTCTCTTGACAACCACCTTCTGAAAATAGTTTAAAGACCTCATTGGATCTGAATTATCTTTATGTTATAAGGAAGAAAAAAACACATCAGAATATTTCAGAGTCTGGACGAATGCGAGGCCAGTCAGGTGAAGCTCGAATAAACCACCATTGGCCAGCCCTCTTTGAATACCATTCTACTTGATTTCTCTACTCCGAGAATGCTGGGGGAGGAGAGAGAAAGTTATTGACGACTTGAGATGGAGAGGCAGTTCCAATGAAGATAGAAGGATTCATTTTAATAAAGGCAGCCAACGTTGTCTTCAGAGAACAATTTTCTCTGATCGATATAATTCACCAAGACCTCAGATGACAAGATTCATGAGCATTGTTCCTGGTTTGAATCTGATTGTCCCAGAAACTTGTTTTATTTTTATTTATTTTAGCCGCATATCTCCTTGAGCCTGTAATTGCGGTCTATAACATGGTCTCTTACAAAAGACAAGAAGAATCTACTTAGAAAACCGTGCTTAGCATTCTTCTCTTTCTTAGCTTTTTTTTCTTTCTCATCCCCATCTATTGCATCCTAATGACCGAGGACTAATTAAATGCTGTTAAAATGCTGTTCTTCTATTATACCTTGACCTTTGCTTAGGATCAACTAGATATATTTTTCAGTACACCTATAACTCTCCATGTCAAAGGTTCCATGTTCCATCTTCAGCACCCCCAGTTTAAAAAATCAGCACAAGAAGGGAAAGATCTGTGTCAGAAATTCTGGGAAGGCATCACTACTCCATGTAGACAAAACTAACCATGGTGGACCTCCATTCTCACCTATTTCCAGATAGCCCTTTATATGTTTAATTCTCCTCATTCATACAGCAAGTAGAGGGGACTAAACAGAGAGCAAAGGATGGAAGTGTTAAATCATGCCTGATGACCACGGCTTACCCTTGTGTTCAGAACCACAAGCTTCAAAGACTCTGAAATACCCACAATGAAGGAGGAACGGTTGGTGAAGATGACAGAACTAGCAGAGATGGCAAAATTAACCTGTTTGATTAGAGAAAGATCAACAACTATATTTATTAGTGACTGGAAACCCCTTATGGATTTTTTTGCTGACAGAAGAGGAAAATGAAACTTGTGATTTATGAGTTTGAAGATTAGAAAGAGTAGCTTATGGAAAGAAGGAAAGTATGATGTAACCTTAGAGAGCCTCTCTCAGTAAAAATGTATCTATAATCGCTCTCAAGAAGATCGGAAGCTGCTTCTTTATAATCTTTTCTATTTCTATTTCTATTTCTTTTCTATTTTCTTTTTCACTCTTTAGTATTCTTTTTTATTATCTTTATTTTCTCTTATGGTTGCTGCTTGGTTAAAAATTTATTTCATAAAAATTATTTTTAAAAAGGCAAAGACTACACGCTTCTAAGGCCATTTTTGCTGCCTCTTCTGACTGCGGTTTCTGAAAACTGGTACTGTTCCAAGGCAGGGAACGCACACACGCGCATGTACACACGTACACACACACTATAGTGGTAAGCTCTAAAATAGGCTTTGCATGGCTTTTAAAAATGGAGGAAAAAAACCTCTTCCATAAAACCCAGGATTAAAATAAAATCCTGACTTTGCCCACTTTACACTCTTGTTCCACCCACTGTGGCTCTCTGTGGTCTGTGAAGAGCCACAGAAAGTTCTCCCACCTTATTTCCATGCCATTTTCCTACCCCCTCTCCAGTAATTGAACGTGGCTTGTAGAGATGTTACCAGACGGGAAGTGATTGAGTTCAGTTTCATCTATGCATGCACTCTCTTTGCAAAAGAGAAGTCACTTCCAAACGATGGACTGATGTTGCTATGAACATTAATATATCTGCATTACGTAAGTAGGCCATTAATATGCAACGAGTAAACTCAGGACCAGCTGCAGCAGCAGTATCTGGCTTATGGACCATGCAGGAACGTTTTGCTGAAGAACCCAAGAGCCCTTTTGAATCAATCCAAGATGAATCAAATCCAACATTCCTTGACACATGTTGGCCAACCAGGTGAACTTAGGAGACTCAAGTGCCCTCATCTATTGCTTTTCTCGAGCAGCAGAGGTGCTCCCAGTGATTATGGAGATCTCAAGACCAGTAGCTGTTGACACCCAGATCTTCCATCCTCCCCTTTTAAGATGAGTTAAATTGGTGGCCATCCCCACATTTAGTGACGGCAAGGTCCATAGTTTTGGTATGGAACTGTGTGCCTCAGCTTCCATCTCCCCATACAGATGTGCTTTATCAATTTCCAGTACTATCATGGACTGTTCCTTCTACTTTGTTACTCTCTTGAGTGGGTCATGATGTGCGTTTGGAAATAACAATGCACACATCTCAACTCTGTAATGCTGACCCTATTACTATATATGTTTTTATATGAAGACTAAGATTTTGTATTCAGCAACGTTCTTAAGGTTTAAAAGACTGCCTCAGGTGGGTGATGTTGTCAAGGGCAATGACAGTATCAACCGCTCTTCCAAAGTTGTTTCCATCTTTAAAACAGGACAGGACTTTGGAACTGGGTTCCACAACCCCCCACATATTATGCAAGACCATTTTTTTTCCTTGTCATTTGAACAGGTGAGCACTGGAAGCTCTTGTTATTTACAATTTCTTGATCAGTCTGTTCTTAGCGCGCATACGTGTGTGATGAATGCAAGGCTGCCTTGCCAGAAGAGATGGAAAACAAAATAGACTTTGCATAGTTTACTGAAATGTGTTTTGGGAGATGGCTTTGCTCCTGGCAGAAGGCCTGTCAATATGCAAAAGCTAACCTTCTGGCTTGATGGAGTTGATGGAAAAGTTCACAGCCCAAACATCTAGGAGATCATCATGCAATTCTGCAAGGTTCCAAATCTTCCATAATTTTACCCCAGTGCAATGCATTCCCTTATAACTAGGTCTCCTAACCTTTTTAATAAGTCAATGCAATCCTGTGTCAGTTGAGATGAGGCTGTAGCCAGGTGGACTCCCTCTGTGCTGATGGGTAACTCCCAGAATATCCCAGCCATCATGGAGATCGCTGAGAACCTTGGGAGATGAAGTCCAGGCACCTGGATGAAGCCCATGTTGAAGTGGGCAATCATAGTCAATGGGAGGGGGAAGTCCAAGTTTCAAGTCCATCCTTGGTCATAGAATCTCACTGGGGGACTTTGGGCTGGTCATTTTTTTTTCTCTCAGCCCAGCTTAGTATTACAAGGTCACCCTTGTTGGTGAATGGTCAAGCTGAATTTGACTTCAGTCCACAATGACCTATTTTCAAATGCCTGCTTATAGCTGCAGGAATGTCTGTTTCTGTCATTGCCTTGAGAAAAAGTTGGAAGAAAACACGGATTCTAGGACAGCAAAAGCTCAGATAAACTGTGCCCTTGGGCCTCGCTCACTTCCTGTCTACATTTGCATCAGGGCTTCATCGAAGACATGTTTTGGTCTCAACCAAAGCTATGATGATGGTGGGTTCATACTTGGTTTTCTTTTTCTTTTTCAGACCTGGCTGAGAAGTTACATGAAGCTATTCCAAGCTCCATGCCAGCGCTGTGGAAAATTTCTGCAGGATGGCCTACCCCCGACCTGGCGTGATTTTCGGACGCTGGAAGCCTTCCATGACACATGTAGGCAATAACCCAACCTAGAGGCTGATAAGAACATGTGGAAACAAAAGATGGATATGGAGAAGCACAAAGCAGAAGTCAGATCTTCCATACACCTAAAAATGTTGTTTCCTCCTTGACCAAGATCAATATTTGCATGAACCTCAGGAGGATTAAATGAACCTTTTGGTGAACCATTGTAACCCATCCCATGATAATGACTTTGTTCAACCCAGAATGGGAAGAATGGTTATTGTCCATCTCTCAGAACCCAGCATCACTGCTTGAGTTCCTTGATGGCTTTCAAGAGGATGCAGGTTTTCCATCAAATTAGTCTGCACTTCTGAAGTTCTCTTGATATGAGTAAAAATTAATACTTTTGCTCTTCGATTCTCCTTTTTTTACCTTTTTGTCTTTTGAAGAGGTCAGGGTCTCTCTTTCAACAATGCATTTTTTATTTGTGAGTGGAAGTCCAAAACAGGCTCCTTCCCCCCCCCTTTTCCTCTTTATTATTATGATTGCAATGGGACTGTTAATTAGAACATCAGGGTTCAAAAGGAATCTTGTCAATAACCCCTTACTCATCATTTCCAGAAGGGGCAGATGTTCCTTCCTGCTTTCTGACACCTGTTCCTTAGCTTCTCAAGTCCTCTCCTGGATGCAGCCCTGTTGGGAGCAAAAAGTCACCAGTGGAAAGACTCTGAACCGTCCCCTTACATTTTTCTATGTGTTATTTTGCCTGCAAACTAAAGCTGGTCAGATGAATTAAACTCTTAATTGATAGCTCATTCATGTTTTTTAGTTTTCCTTGTTTGTTCATCTTTGTTATTAAAACAAGGGACCGTGTTGAAAAGAATCCGTCTTGCTTTCATTCCCTTCATTGCAAAGTTCAAAGGGAGGCATCTCCTGGAACTGTTGATTCAAAGGATTCACACATCCTTTTAAGCAGAATGTGGTCTGATCGGGGCTGAATTGCTTGCCTTTTGGGGTTAATATTGTTATTCATTTGATTTATATCCTACATTTCTGCCCAAAACATACTCAAGAGAGCTGTGTTTAAACCCTGGTTTAAGTAAGGATGTCCGTATATCATCTAAATGATGAACAAGCAAAGAAAAGGATCTCTACCAGTGATCTGATTTATTTTTCTGGAAAGAAAAGTGGTCATTCCAGCCTATCCTGTCCTTTCTTCATCCCTAAGAGAGGTTGGCATGTGCTGCTTCTACTAAACAATCTGGCCCACAGAGCTGGGATTTAGCTGAGATGGGTTGAGTTCACCCCACTTCCCAGCTGGACACTACTTGTCAGCCCCACTAGATAGACCAGATCAGGAAATCACCTCCAAAGGAAGGCTAAAACTACTTTGAGATTGGCTACAGTAACAATCATGCAGGTCTGATTGTGCTGTTTGTTCTCCCCCTTCTTATACTCCTGTGAATTAGGGAGGTGTCTGCCTGAATGTTATCTCACTGTTCTGGACTTAAAAAAATGTTTCAGCCCCATTTGGCTAGGGAACGGTTCCTGCATATTTCCATCAAGGTCATCTTCCTGACTCTCTACACCACTTTACCTGGCCAAGGTAGAGCCAAGGAGGACATTTCCCTTAATTACAAGGGAAAAACAGAACAAGACCAAGTTAGCATTGGGAGACGCTCCTCTAAAGACAACAATGGACTGACATGACGCGTGAGCCCAGGGAATTGTGGTTTATTCCATAAACCATGACTTAGAGCAGTGTGAACTCAGCCAAAATAACATGATGCTCTGGAGGTGGAATAAGCTATCACAAACCCCTTTCTTTTACTAAAGGAATAGCAAAAGTTTCTTCTTCCCCTTCTTTTACTGAAGTTGGATTAGGCTGAAGTGCAATCTCCAATCTATTGTATGTGTTAAGATGTTGCAAGATTCACTGGGGAGGGGTTTTTTATCTCCAGGAATTCTGATACAAACTCAGTTTCTCTGCAGTTCCCAGATTGATGCACTGTTTGGAATATCATTATCCTTTGCATTTCTCCCTTCTCAGAATTTTACAATGCAGCCTACCCCCCCTCCCCAAAGTACCTACTTGGTTAAACATGCAGATTTTTGATGAGAAAAAGCTTGAAATGCGTGTTTTTAAGACTGAACCCATTGTATAAAGGCCCTTCGTATTCATAATCCGTTGTGCTTTTTTTTTTAAAAAAAACATTACTGATTAATATAGAAACAGGGACGGAATGAACAAACACAAATGCTTACGTGGATCTCGAGTCCTCCATTCCTAATAAAAGTAGCTTCTAGGGAAAGTTGAGAAGGATTCCAAGGTGACTCTTGACAACTATGTTGATGCTAAAATTAAGACACAAATGTGCCTTTTGAAAGTGAAAGGCCCATCTTTGAACTAAATCTAGGCATCAAGAGCCCTTGGGGTGTTTTTCAAGCCCAGGAAATTGAAAACAAGCCCGCTTGCGTTTCAAGCCTTCCTCGTTGGTAACCTTTGCAAGGAAGAGATCTTCTTGCCTTTCACATTTCATCCTGAGAGGGAGAGAGATGACTCGCAAGCTTTCGCATGGGTTCTGTTTAACTAAATCAAAAACAGCATGGTGCTGGAGGCATTACAGAGGACAAGGTGGGAGTAGCAATAGGACAGTAAGCACAGGTTCTTGCAGAAGGGGAAAGAAAAGATCCAAGTAGTTCTTGGCAAAGAGTGTTTCATTCCCCCTTTTATACTTTTTAAGGAAACGAGAGATAAACAGTACTTCCTGATAACAGATTCCCCTGAGAACTGGTTGACTTTTTCCCTTGGTAGGGTATTTGAAGAACCGAGCATTACATTTCTCATGTCCTGATTTCATTAGAGGAATGGAATTGTAAGATGCCTTCTTGCTTTCTGCTGATAGCCCGCTTGGCGTTGTAGGATTTCTCAAATACGGTGCCTCCAATATCAGGAAAACCATTTCTTTTGGTTTCCAACGTTTTAATGCTGGAAACTCTCATAGCAAATGGCTGGACTGTCTGCCTCCTTGGTGGAAAGTAAGATCTGAGGGTGACAATTTGCAGGAGAAAGGGAGAGGAAAAGAGACCCTTCGATGTTCTCCTACCTAATTGCCTTCTGAGGGCTGAGTTTTAGTACTTTGGGGGAATGGAACAATCTGTTTTTCCCCAATGATTGATGGATTACATGCCATCAAGTTGTTGTCGACTCTTTTTTATATAAATAGTGTTTATGAAAGAAATTTTTAACAAAGTAACAGCCATAACAGAAAATAAAGAAAAATGGTGAATAGCAAGAAAAGAAAGTAGAGAAAGGAAAGGAAAAGAAAGATGATAGAGAAGTAGCTTCTGATCTTCTTGACAGCAATTATAGATACATTTATATTTTACCCTCTGTCTCTAAGGTTACAAGTTGGTGTTGACTCTTAATGACCACATAGGTTTTCTCCAGTAGGATCTGTCCCCAACCTGGTCCTTCAGGTCTTCAAATGGTACCCCAATCAACACTGTCACTGAGTCCATCCCCCTTGCTGCTGTCATCCTCTTCCTCTCTTTCCTTCCACCTCTCCCAGCATCAGAGCCTTCTCCAGAGAGCTGGGTCTTTGCATAATATGTCCTCCTAAGTAGGATCATTTGAGCCTGGTCATTTGGGCCTCGAATGAGAACTCTGGGTTGATTTGTCTGATGATCCATTGCTTGTTTCCTTGGCTATCCATGATATTCATATTGTTGTGAGCTGCCCAGAGCTGTACTTTAAGATGGATGGCCATACCATCTTTAAACAAACAAACAAACTCTCAGGAGTCTTCTCTAACACCAAAGTATAAAAACATCAATGTTCTTTCTACCCTGCCTTGTCAAAGTCCAACTTTCACTACCATAGAGAGTCATGGGGAATACCATGACTTGTACGATTCTGATCTTTGTAGGTATAGACCAGTGTTTCTCAACCTTGACAACTTTAAGATGTGTGGACTTCAACTCCCAGAATTCCCCTGGCTGGGGAATTCT